TAACACAGCATTTGGTACAAAGAACAACTAGTAGGTGTATACGTCAAGTCGTTGAAGCATTGAACCATCCAGCCATTCTAAATAAATGGATTCTGTTTCCAAGTTTGAAACAACAATGAACCCAAATAAGACTTGAGTAAATTATATGACAAAAGTATTTAAGTAGAAATACATACTTGAAATACTTTTTATTAGTAGCATATTCTTTGATGTGCTTTACACTAAACACTATACCTCCCTTAAGTCCAATAGGTACTTAGAAAATGCCTCATTGAGCCTTTCATGCACACTACGTTCAAAATAATAGTAAAAGCATCTGTCCTTTTAATAACAAAACAAATAATTAAGTATTATATTTTCCAAAATTACAGGTTTCAGAGGCGATTTAAACTCCCGGGTACAGTTGGATGCATAGACTGTACCCATATAGCAATAGTCTAGCCATCAGATGAAGAACATTTATTTTTTAATAGGAAAGGTTATCATTCATTGAATGTATAAATAGTAAGTTTACATTTGTTTGTGGCTCAATTATGTAAAAATAGCTTTAAATATAAATAATGGTATGTGATAAGTAATTTGTGAAACCAATGTAACAAAATCTCATTTTCAAATAGAAGATCAAAATTAAAAAGGTACGTATTTTCTTTAAAATATTTTTCATTATTATTATTATACACTATGCACTATTAAGTCTAAATTAAAAAATGAAAACAAATAAAATATAAGTAATTACATAACACAGTCAAATAAAATTACATTAGGGGTACAATAAATTACGTTACTTAAATGCTAATTCGGTCTCAAATCACGAGTCTCCAATAGTTCGAGTACTCGTGCCGTGTAGTGGCGGTTAAGAATATCCACTACCCCATATCTTCCCGTGGGTGTCGTAAGAGGCGACAGAGGGAGACAGGCAGGAGATGGGCAGCAGCGTCTTCCTGATGACAACTGTTCACAAAAAACTGCGGTTGCCAACCCGCTCGCCAAGCGTGGCAACTATGGCAAATACCCCCCAATGAATAAATACACAAACAGACGGCCCCCAGTCCCCGGCGGCCCCGCTATTCCTGGCTACGGTGGCGACCATGGTAACGGCGGGGCAGGGGGTGCTAAGAATCTCCGGTGGAGGTTCGGTTGCCACCTACGACGACTCGACCTGGCAACATATAACGCACGCACCCTGAGGACTGACGAGAAGATAATGGAGCTGGAAGAAGAGGTAGACAAGTTGCGCTGGCATATTATTGGATTATCCGAGGTCCGAAGAGAGGGGGAGGACACGGCAATCCTCGGGTCCGGCAACTTGTTCTATCACCGGGAGGGCGACCATCTGTCCCAAGGAGGTGTCGGATTTATCGTCCACAAATCTCTCGTCAACAACGTTGTAAAGATTGGGAGTGTGTCGACGAGGGTCGCGTACCTGATACTCAGAATCACCAAACGGTATTCGCTGAAGGTCATTCAGGTTTACGCACCAACCTCGGCACATCCCGATGAGGAGGTGGAGGAAATGTATGAGGATATTTCCAGAGCCATACATTCCTCCAAAACCTACTACACGGTGTTGATGGGAGACTTCAACGCAAAACTGGGCACAAGAGAAAGCGGTGAGCTGAAGGTAGGGAAATTTGGAGTAGGGCAACGGAACCGAAGGGGCCAGCAGCTGGCCGACTTTATGGAGAAAGAGGGACTCTTTATGATGAACTCTTTCTTCCAGAAGCGGCCCCACAGGAAGTGGACCTGGTCGAGCCCCGACGGTTCGACAAAAAATGAGATTGACTTCATTATGACGACCAGACGCCAACTGTTCAGTGATGTCTCAGTGATCGCAAGGGTGAAAACTGGCAGAGATCACCGAATGGTTAGAGGCACACTGAACCTAAACGTTAAGTTGGAGAGGTCTCGTCTAATGAAGTCAACGCTCCGTCCCCCTCGTGCTCTAATCCAGAATCCCGAAACCTTTCAGCTCGAGTTACGTAACCGCTTCCAGTGCCTAGAAAATTGCAATGCAGTGGACGATATGAACGACAAGCTCGTGGAAACTGTCCATGCGGTCGGAGCTAAGTTCTGCAAGACCCGCCGCAGAAGAACACAAAAACTCTCCGATCACACTCTTAATCTCATGGCTGTTAGACGGGAGATGAGGCTGCAATCGTCAACAGATTTGACAGCATACAGGCAACTGAACAGACAGATCTCCAAATGCATACGGCGAGACTTACGCAACTTTAATACTTCTCGTATTAAAGAAGCGATCGAGCGAAACCAGGGCTCCAAAGTCTTTGCCAGAGATCTGTCTGCCAGAAAGAGCCAACTGTCAAGGCTGAAGACTGAGTGTGGCAACATCGTTTCCGGGACACCTGAGATTTTGAGTGAGATTGAGAGGTTCTATGGGCAGCTGTACACATCATCGTTGGAGCCACACGCAAGTGTGAGTAACGATCCAAGAGCAAGTCTTATCCGACACTATTCCCCCTATATATATCCCGGACGTCAGTCTAAGCGAGATTAGAATGGCTCTCCAGCACCAGGGCAGGGCCCCAGGCGAGGATGGAATTACAGCGGAGCTTCTGAAAGCGGGTGGAACACCGGTACTTGAAGTCCTTCAGAAGCTCTTCAATTCCGTCCTCCATGGTGGCACTACTCCAGAGGCGTGGAGCAGAAGTGCGGTGGTCTTGTTCTTTAAGAAAGGCGACAACGCTCTCTTAAAGAACTACAGACCGATTTCCCTTCTGAGCCGCGTCTACGTGCTGTTTTCGAGAGTCATTACGAATCGTCTCGCACGCAGACTTGACGACTTCCAGCCTCCCGAACAAGCCGGTTTCCGAAAAGGCTTCAGTACCATAGACCACATACATACCCTGCGGCAGATTGTACAGAAGACTGAAGAGTACAATTTGCCACTTTGCCTGGCGTATGTGGACTATGAGAAAGCCTTTGATTCCGTCGAAATTTGGGCGGTGCTACAGTCCCTTCAGCGGTGCCAAGTTGACTGTCGGTATATCGAAGTGCTGAAGTGTTTGTACAGTAGGGCTACGATGGCTATCCGAGTACAGAACCAGAGCTCGAAACCTATCCAACTGCAGAGAGGTGTAAGACAGGGTGACGTTATATCCCCGAAACTCTTCACCGCTGCATTGCAAGACGTTTTCAAGCTACTGGACTGGAAAGGATACGGTATTGACATCAATGGCGAGTACATCACTCACCTTCGATTTGCCGACGATATAGTCCTTATGGCAGAATCGCTGGAGGACTTAAGCACTATGCTCAATGACCTCAATAGTGCCTCCCAACGGATAGGTCTTAAGATGAACATGGACAAAACAAAGATCATGTTCAATGTCCATGTCACACCTATGCCGGTAGTTGTTGGGAGCACTATGCTCGAAGTTGTTGACGAATACGTTTACCTGGGACAAATAGTCCGACTAGGTAAGTCCAACTTCGACCGAGAGGTCAATCGACGGATTCAACTCGGCTGGGCAGCGTTCGGGAAATTACGGCATATCTTTTCGTCAGGTATACCTCAATCTCTAAAAACTAGATTGTACAACCAGTGCGTGTTGCCAGTGATGACTTACGGATCTGAGACGTGGTCCTTCACTGCTGGCCGTATGAGGACGCTTAAGGTCGCTCAGCGAGCTATGGAGAGGGCTATGCTCGGAGTTTCTCTGCGTGATAGACTCAGAAATGAGGATATCCGCAGTAAAACCAGAGTGACCGACATAGCCCAACGGATTAGTAAGCTGAAGTGGCAATGGGCCGGCCATATAGCTCGAAGAACCGATAACCGATGGGGAAGAAAGGTTCTCGAGTGGCAGCCTCGTACCGGTAGGCGTAGTGTAGGGCGACCCCCCACTAGATGGAGTGACGACCTGGTAAGACATGCAGGAAGTCGATGGATGCAGGTGGCTCAGGACCGTGCTTTGTGGCATTACTTGGGGAGGCCTATGTTCAGCAGTGGACTTGTGAAGGGCTGTAATGCTGATGAATGATGATGTAATTACTTATATTTTATTTGTTTTCATTTTTTAATTTAGACTTAATAGTGCATAGTGTATAATAATAATAATGAAAAATATTTTAAAGAAAATACGTACCTTTTTAATTTTGATCTTCTATTTGAAAATGAGATTTTGTTACATTGGTTTCACAAATTACTTATCACATACCATGTCACTAACAACTAAGAAATACTTTACTACAAGTACTTGACAAAATTAAAATTTAAGTAACAAGATGTTCTCCCACAAACTATGACATGTATTCCATGCATAATATAATTAAATTTTATTTGTTTATTATCATATTCATTTAAAGCTAAGACATGGACCCTGGGCACAGCAAAAAGATAAAATTAAAATTACAAAAACAAAATTATAACTCTATATCTACTACTTACTAACATAAAATTAATTTTACAATAAAATTTGGATAGTGTATAATTTTATTAATGGAACATATATGACAGAAAACCTTGACCTTAAATTTTGATATACCTTCAACTTAGAAATAAGGTTTTGTTACATTGCTTTCACAAATCACATAACGTAAGTCTTTAAATTAAAAAAAAAAGGAATAAAAAAATCACACAACACATACCATTACACACTAACAACTCAGAAATACTTTTAAAGTCTGGATAAAAGATTATTCAGTACTGCCCTGCCTTGGAGTAGCTCACTTTGATCACTAGCAGCACCAACACTATCAGATGCATTGTCAGGTTGAGCATCATCTTCTTCTACTTCCATAATAGATGGAGGAGGTAAATTGGCCTCTAAAGCCATATTGTGTAACACACAACAGGTAAGTATAATTTTCCCAGCAACCTCAGGATGATAATGCAAGGTCCTGTGTCTTAATAAACACCTCCAACGTGACTTTAGCAATCCAAAACAGCGCTCTATACAGTTTCTTGCTTGTACATGTCGTTGAGTATATTATGTATCTTCAACTGAGCCAGGAACTGCATTTAATATGGGAGTCATCAGTCATGGCCGCTGAGGATATCCAGAATGACCTAAAATACATAAATAAATATTTGTATTAGGTAATAATTATTTGCTATGCAACAATATAATTCTTTGTGAATAAAATGTTGTCAACAAAAGTGTTATCTAAAAATGTACCATATTATTTATTAACCTACCTAATAACCACACCTGTTCTCCATTTTGGTGCAATTCTCGCATAAATGTTTCCATTCTGCTAGATGCCCATATGAATGAGTCATGGGTAGCTCCGCCAAACTTTGGATTTACATTAGTAATTTTTAAATTACTGTTGCATACCTGTTGACAGGAAAAATTGAACATGTATAATAATTCTATGAATATGTTTCTGAAGTACTATTTAAAGCTATTTTTACATAATTGAGCCACAAACAAATGTAAACGTACCATTTGTACATTCAATGAATGATAACCTTTCCTATTAAAAAATAAATGTTCTTCATCTGATGTCATGACTATTGCTATATGGGTACAGTCTATGCATCCAACTGTACCCGGGAGTTTAAATCGCCTCTGAAACCTGTAATTTTGGAAAATATAATACTTAATTATTTGTTTTGTTATTAAAAGGACAGATGCTTTTACTATTATTTTGAACGTAGTGTGCATGAAAGGCTCAATGAGGCATTTTCTAAGTACCTATTGGACTTAAGGGAGGTATAGTGTTTAGTGTAAAGCACATCAAAGAATATGCTACTAATAAAAAGTATTTCAAGTATGTATTTCTACTTAAATACTTTTGTCATATAATTTACTCAAGTCTTATTTGGGCTCATTGTTGTTTCAACCTTGGAAACAGAATCCATTTGTTTAGAATGGCTGGATGGTTCAATGCTTCAACGACTTGACGTATACACCTACTAGTTGTTCTTTGTACCAAAGGCTGTGTTAGTCCAACAATGCGTTGATATGAACCCGTAGCTAAAAAGCTAAGAGTACACAAAACCTGAAACATGATTTCATTGAGAAATGACATTAAGTACTTAACTCTGTTGGAAGGTATTATATAGGTACAAAACTTACCTTGATTTCTAAACTAATTTCCCGGGTACCTTTCAATGACGTTAAACGCCGAAGATCATCACAAAGACGCCAAAAACTTTGTTTATCTAACCTAAAACGTTGAACAAGTTCCAATTCCTCCATCTCCACAATTTGCACCATTTTACGACGATTTTCTCTTGTTTGGCGTCTTTGCAATGTTGTTTCATTATTAGCTGCCCATAATAATCTCAAAGTATGCATTTTCACTAATTAATTTGAATTAAAGACACACAAAAATATCACTGTTTACTCGTTTCTAGCGTTAGCGTCTGGGTACGATCTCCCGCTAATATAGCGTGTTGCGTAAACGTCAAAATATCATTGGCGTTTGTCAAAAGTGGCATTTGTCTACCATTTTAATGAACATTTTTGTCGTTAGTGTGTCACGCTCACTTCGACGTTCCTTTCCGCATGAGGAATAATGACTTTGTCTACCAATTAAGCAGTAATCACGTGAAATCTGGTTAGCAAATGTCAACACCATACAATTATATTTTTCCGTTGGCGTTAACGCTTACAGAAAACGAATTTTGTCTAGGCCCCCAGGACTTTTTTACTCTATCTAGTGGGGGAGCCGCCCTAAACTTAGCCTACCGGTACTCTCCGGCCCATAAACATAAAAGGCTATGTTGTTAATTTAATGGCTATATTAGATATTTGGCTGCGACAGCTTTTATTATTTTTCGTTAAACATTAAAAAACAACATCAAATTTATTGTTTGCCGTTGCCATATTGACAGTTTGGAGAGTTTCGACGCTAGGTGATAGAAAGTGGAACTAAATTGCAATGACCTGTTCACTAAGCAAGTAATGAAACGTCATCGATAAAAGTCACTTGCCTAGCTGTTTGATCAAATGGCTGAATATCATTCAGGCCGCTAGTTGAACGGTGCTGTTTAGTAAAGAGGCTAGGCTGTTGATTGAACGGCTAATTAAGCTAGTAGGCTGTGACATACAACCCACGTTTTAATTTACATTCAAAGTGAAAAATTATATACGAAATGGAAAATCTATTGATATTTCTTATCATTCTAAATGTAATTAGAGGTAAAAGCAAATAAAATTACTGCCGTCAGCGGGAATCAACCACCGTTTTGATCACTTATAATTAAATTTTAGGGCGAGTGTTTATCCCCTGAGCTACTATCTTCTGAGTTCTTAAAATATTGTGTACGTTAAATATGATACACCCATAAATCATAAAATAAATCTGTTGTATGTCGACAAGAAGATGTAAAAATGTAATACACGTGACCCTTGAGACGACGTATACTCGACAAATATATATAACGCTTGTAAGGCATGATACTTAAGTATTTACGTCAAATACATTTGTCCTCTTTTCACAAAGGATTGTATACGACGGCGCTATGACAGGTGTCTGTTGCCCCGCGGCGTCGCGCTGCCTCGACACACGGGTTTGTTCGTAGAGAATGTCTTTTGAATGTTTTATATGGGGATGAAAACAATATTTCAGGTGTCAACGGCTTTGTTTGCCTGTTATTGTTCTTCGCACACGAGAAATAATAAATGAAGCCTCTGTAATAATGAGCTCAAAGAGTACGAAAATAATCGTAGGTACTTGTATATTAACAGTAAGGAATCACAAATTTTTGTTCTACTACAATATATTAATAGACCGCGAATATTTTCATCCGTCTGCCGAGTGTGCTAGGAAGCAATATATGCAGCATAGAGCAGCAGTGGAATGTCGATAGGCATAATGAACATTTTCACAAATTTGATTGCTTGCTAACGCCGTGGTTATGTATAGTTGTATCACTGCGTGTTTCAGGTTCGTTTCCCAAATATAAAGTAAAACAAGTTATATCTTTGTTCTACATATCACTTTGGCAGTTCATGGCGTTCAACAATCTGCCCTTACAGCCACTTACTTGAGCCGTGGTAGCTCAGAGGGTTAACGCTCGCTGTAAATATAACAGAACGCGAGTAACCTGGGTTCGATCCCCGCCGGCACCAATGAAATTATTAATTGCAATTTTAAGTGCTAATATATCACGAGCTCGTGAAGGAAAACATCGTGAGGAAACCTGCATGTCTAAGGAATAAGAAAAAATATTTCGAAGACATGTGAAGTTCGCCAAAACGCATTGAGGCAGTGCGGTGGACACTTCCTTGCCCTAAAACCCTCTCTGAAATGACGGGAGGCCTGTGCTCAGCAGTGGGACGTATATAGGCTGTAACTTTACTTTGCTTTTTTTATTTTATTTACACGACCTAAAAACCCCAACAAGAAGAAAGGAATGACATTTTTCTTGTTTGCCTCTACTTTTTTCTTGCAACAATGATCTGTGGATTGAAATTGCTACAGAGGGTGATTGATTACCACAATAATATGGCTATGGGCAGGTGTTGCTTGTAGAAGCTAAATTTCCATGTAAAAAGTTATTTAACTTTGTGTAATGATGATGATGCTGTAGGAACAGGCCAGCGACAGGAAGAACTGAACCGTCGGTCGGAAAATCAGCAGGTGAAACAGGCCCGCCAACAGGAGGAACGGGCACGTCGTTTTGGAAGAGCAGCTCGAACGTAAAGAACAGCAGATACTCCTCATGAAAGACCTTCATGCTACCTTCGGGAAAGAGATAAGAGGGGTGAAGGATAGGGTTGCTCAACATGACAACCGCCTGTCGGAAGCTGAAACCCGAATGGACCAAGTGAACTATCAGGTTGACAACCTGATGGCTGAAATGAAGAAAATGCTGGACGAACTCAAACTTGGGGATGGAATTACAGCTCCTGTAGTAGCTAAAACACCTTTGCTACGTGGATTCAAAGTACCACCGTTCGACGGGACTTCTTCTTGGTCGGCCTACAAAATCCAGTTAGAAGCTGTTATGAAGGCGAACGGCTGGAATAAAAGTCAGGCCATGACTGCTCTCACACTAGGCCTACGTGAACAGGCCTTAACTGTTCTAGAAGCTCTCGGTTCGGTAAGGAAGTGACTTAAGAGCAGCTCCTTGAGGCATTGGAGGTGAGAAATGGCGATGCTCTCCTGGACGTCTTCACGTCTTTCGCGTACAACGCATCAAAGAAAACCTGCTATTTTAGAAAGGTAAGAATTTTTTTTGACTATTATAAGTCAATGCTTGAGTACTAAGTTACCTGACGAGAAGTGGTGATGCAGCCAAAGTAGGTAAATCTCATTGACTTAGCTTAAAAAAGTCTATTTACTCTTGCCTTGAAGATACATTTTAATAGAGTGTAAAGTCATACGCTGGAACATTATTCAATTCCTTTGCTGTACGCATGGTGAATAAGGAAGCAAGCTATTTGATTCGAAAACATGGTGTGCCGACAATAAAGGGTTAGAGATTAGCCAAACAGATGGTGGAGTGAGGAATTAAGTCATGCAATTCTTGTGTACATGATGTATTTCGAAAATGGTGGCGAAACGTATGTGTTCTTTATTTCATCTTTTTTTTAAATTAAATTATACAATGTTTATTATTCCGGCTGAATTCCTGTGATGACATTCTAAATAAAATACCACTGAGACGAGAGGTATCCAAAGTATTTACGCACCATACTATGGCTTTAACTCTCTTCCAATGGACCAAGAGTTATACCGTCAGGTCGCCTGTCATCGTTTCTCAATATTCCACTAGGCTCTTAAAACGCTTTTAACATATTTTGTTCTATATTCTCTCTTGTTTTGTATTTTGGTGAAGAATTTTCTATCTATGTACGTGGTAGAGCCACGCTGCAGCTATATTAAAGTTGTAACACGACACAAACAAAGTAATTTCTACGAATTTTAATTTATTGGATTTCCGCAAAGAAACGTTTGATTCTATTTATTATATTTCACATGGGTTTAGTTTGAGTTACTGCATGCTTAACCAGGGGTTGGCCCTAATAATAATTGTAAATAAGACTCAGTAGCAGGAGAGTAGTGTCACACATTTGAGTTCGCTTATTAGTGAGTGGCTTCTGTAGAATGTGTGAAAATTAATTATTGGTTATTTTATTACATTAGTCAAAACATGTTATTTTAGTTCTACGGGTTAAATTCCCTTAAAGTATTTATCTACACAAAACCAGTTTTAACAATTATTAGTTTTTTAATAGTGTTGTTTATATGTAGTACTTACTAAATTGTTTCTGTGTAACTTAACACTGGAAGTACCTGCAACATTTGCTTAAAGCCAGACATCAGACCGGGAGGGCACATGTTTGATATTTTCCCCTGGCGATCTGAGTGAATTGAATCACAAATAGCTGCGGTTGTCGACAACGATGTATTGATCCAGTATATCCTTAAAACATTCGCGTCAATACCTTATTCAGTCGATGCATGAACTTTGACAAAATTCTTTTCATGGCACTCATGTTTTTTATGGTAATTCATTCTTTTCAAATGATTATTCATTTTTGTACCATTTTAAGTTCATAAGTTTGAACAGTACCTTATGAATATTACTGGATTATTAAAACAATGATCGGGTGGAAGTGTAATTGGTTAATGAAGTCAAACTATTCTCATAAAAGATTTGTAAAACAGGCTATATTATTGGTATGGTTTATGATATTATTTGTCTTTTAGATCGTATTTGATTGGTGCCAAGACATATAAGAAAACTTAGTACAGCCTTTTCATCAAGGAAATGCAGCCAACGTTCTTACTATTATAACGCGGTGAGTAGGACTTTATAATAATAAAAGCTTGAAGCTATTTATTGCTATAAATATTGTACATTTATATCTTCTCGTGAGTCTTGGAGTTTCGTTCTCACATACATTACACGTAGACTAAAACAATTGTCTTGCAATTGTTTGTGTACTCTCAAATAGTTAAATAAAAATATAAGTGCTGGAAATCTAAATATATACAAGGTTTACATAGAATTATTTTTTCGAGTTACACGAATACAAATAAGTACTTGTATTACGTGTACAATAGAACAATATGTAGTGAATGATTGTATTACACTATTTTCACACTGCTAAACGAATAATTAAAAGTGTTGAATTTGGATTGCATATTGTTCAGTGTTAAATTAAGTTTTGCTTTCTTTTCGGCGATTATCATTATTTTAGCTAATGATCTTTTAAAGATACAAGGTTCAGTAAAGATTATATCGCGATTCCACTAAAGAGTTGGCGAAATATTAGTGGATTGTTTTGAAGATAAATAAACGTCCGTATAACTCATCTTCGAACTGTTCAGATATTGGTAA